GCGGCGCTCGTGGTCGGGCGCGAGGTGGCAGAACTCAGCGAGCGGTGGCGGGGCTTGGAGCGCGCGACAACGGGCTTCGGGATGTGGTGGCGTGCGCTGGGCTCGCGGCGGCGCCCCGACGTGTGTAGGCGGCGGTGGCCCCTATGCGTGGATGGCGCGGGGGGTGGTGGCGGCTCGGCGTTGCCGGCGATCTGGACACGGTGGGGCTGGCGGCTCGCTGGTCTGCCGGAGATCCAGGGGCATCATTGTCTCCGACTCGATCTGTTTTGGTTCATGCTAGCTCCGGTACAGGGAGATTGTAATCATCTCCTAGTGCTGGCTACATGGATCTGACGGCGACGGCTGGACCCTTGGTCTAGTCTTCGATAGAGAAGGCGGCGGTCCATGCACAAGAAGCGGATCGAGTTCTTCGAACAGATCTGGGTGAAAACCTGCTCTTAGCTAGATGCCAAAGCCGATGGTGGCGGCACTCTACGGTGTCGTTCCCTTCTTGAAGGCACCGCCGTGAAGAAGTTCTAGACTATGATCTGCTACCTCCGGGGGAAACCCTAGATCGATAGATCAGAAGACAACGACGCATTTGTGTCGTTTCCCCCTTGGGGGCGTCTTTCTTGGAGGTGTACGCGGGCTCTAGGGACCAGTGGACGACGTCTTTGGTGGAGCGGTGCTTCATCATGCACATTGATGATGACAGATCTTGATGGCATGACGCTCTGGATATTAGGCGTCTGATGTGCGAGGACTCGCGCAGGCCCGCTCATGTACCTATTATTTTGCCTGCACCTACTTTCTTTGATTATTATAGTAAAAGAAGATATTACGATCTTGAGAGCGAGGCCCGCTCGTACAATGCGGAGGTCGACGCTGCTCGGCGGGCTGAGGAGGCTGCACCAAGAGCCTCCATGAGCTATCACTCAGATTATTATCCAGGTCGCGGATGGTGATTACCAAGCTAGGCCAAAAGCCTAAGCTTGGGGGAGTACGTATTACCACCGGCATTATATTCATGCTCACACATTTCATTCCAGTTGTCGGTGTCCATACTTTTTCATTGTATTATCCATGCTAGATTTATTTTCCTGTTTTCTTCTTTTGTGTTTGAAAAACTCTAAGAAAATCCAAAAATATTTCTTACTTATTTTCGGTTTTTCTTGCTAGTTTAATTTAGTTGTAGCATTAAAAAACATCCAAAAAGAGTTCTCAATTCTTATTTTGCTTGTTGGGAGCTTTCCCGTGTAAATAGTTTTCTCGTTTTTTTTCTTTCTTTAATTTGCTTCCTTCAAAAAAACCGAAAACTCCAAAAATATTTCAGTATGTTTTCTGATTTTCTTTTCTTTTTCTTTTGTTGAGTCGTACATAGGGGAATACTACGATAAAAATGTTGAGTGACTTTCATATACATTATTGTTGATCTAACAAAGAACCCATATTATTTTGTCTTCCCCTCTGAATAAAATGTTGCAGATTCCAGCTTAGTCCACCACACTCTTGCACTATTATTATTTTAATATCATTTAGTTGTGCAAGTGAAAGGCAATAATGACGATATTTTGATGAAGTGACTGTGGCAGAGGAAAGCAGACAGATGCAGAAGGAAATTTGCGGCTTGTTATTGGAGATGCCCTTAATGCACTATACTATGATACTCTATTCTTATGTAACAGGTTCTACAAAATTATTACGTACTAGTTCAATTTGATGGCTATTATTTCCATGTTTTGCTCCAGGCAGTTACTCATCCTCTCACAGTGCGTAAATATTTCATGGTGGCTGCAAAGATCACCGCCTATCCAGCCGTTTGATTAGGATCACCTAGCCCGTCCGATTAGAGCGAACACAACCCGTCGTCTTTCTCCTTTCTCTCGCAGTTCATCTCCTCTGTAGCAGCGAAGAAGATGCAAGAAACAGGCGACTACAGCACTAGGACACATGCACCCCCTGACGAAGCTCCATTGCAATCCCCGATGGCGAGACAAAGCGGCGACGCAGCACCGACGACGCCGGCGAAGCTCCATTGCAGCACCAATGGCGCTCCAGTGCAACACCGATGGAGCTCCATTGCAGCTAAACGACCGTGGCGATGCACCAGCGAAGCTCCATTGCAGCCATGGGCGACGCTTCATTGCAGCCCCGGCGTCGCGGCGAAGATCCGACGCAGCATCGGCGGCGCAGTGAAGCTCCATTGCAACCGAAGTTGAAGGAGACGCCCCGTAGCAACAACAGTGTCTGCGTCCATGGCGAGGATGCAATAGCAACGGCTGCTTCGACGAAGGAGGAGTGGCAGAGCTAACCGGAGGAGTAGGATCGGCACGAGGTGCAACAGTAGAGGCAAAAATTGCTTGTAGCAGCGGGTGGCATGTGTTGGATTGCATCAGCTTTCGGTGGCGGGCTTTGCAGGGTCCTTGACATGGGTGGGAGGGTGGGGAGGAGGGGGGGGGGAGCAAGCAATCGGCAGTGCGACTGTGCTTCGCCCTGAATGAAGAGGAAATAACAAGAGGGAGAAGACGACCCGTGCCTGGATCTAGAGAGGATAAGGTTGCGGGGATAAAGGCTCGGAGGAGATGGAGTGGACCCAAACACGTGTCAACCAAAGAAGGCGGCTTGACGGGAGAGAAAATCATCCGGTTTAAAGAAAGAGTTTTTCATAATTCATAGGAATAGGATTTCTCTACTCCTAATCAGAGCGGACAACCTGTAACTTCTTGCCAGTAAAAGAAACATGTAACTTCCCCCAAATGTAGATCAAGCGCGTTGCGCACCTATGCCTCGTGACTCGTGTGCTAATTTTTTGTTGTTTTGTTAGGAACCATTCTTTCCATAGATATTTAATGATCTGATTGGCTGAGATCGCCAGGCGAATTCTATTTCATCAAAAATTCTTATACTGGTCTTAACGATTTTTTTGCAAAAAAAATGTATGAACCTAACGTTGCAGGAAC